TCTATTCCAATACGTTCACGACTTACTTTGGTATTAATTACTTTCTACGAACAAATAAAATGATTAGAAAATTGAATATGAAAAAAGTCAATAATAAAGTTATATTACAGATATAAAGCATACTTTAATCCGTTCATCCTTAACAGCGATCAAAATACTTTCGTCAATTAAAAAATTAAATCTACTTGCAAATCGTATGCACCTTAGCACGCGAAGTGGATCATCATTGAAAGTTTCAAACGGCGCCAAAGGTGTTCGAATAAGGCCTTGCTTTAAATCAGGGATACCCTTTATCAAAAAAAAAAACGAGTATAACAAGATTATCGTTATTAATTAAAACACCATTTAAAAAGAAATTCCAATAGAAGAAAAACCTTTTTTGTAGGGTCTTCGACTTGACGTGTGTGAATATTGTAGAACAACGCATTGATTGTTATATCTCTACGATACGCGTCTTGTTCAGGAGTACCAAAAGTCTATAAAAAATATTAATATTAGGCAATACAAGGTTAATTTCTTGTTTTTTCAAACATTAAAACTTTAGAACAGACCCAGCCACTACGTTTAGTATTAAAAAAAAAAAATTCAAAATTTGACACGACCAGGTTATGAAAAAAAGTATGGCCTTATTAAGATTATGAATAATAGCAGTCAAATATTCTCAATTAATAATAGTGATACATTACCACTTTACTGGGAATTCTACTATCTTCTACATATTCTTCACTTCTCAAATTAACAAAGTCAATTTCATAACCAAAAATTTTTGTGGTAGCGGTTTCCAAATGTTTCGATTTTTCAGGATTTGATTCAATTTTATGAATATTTTCAGTAGCGTGTCCTTTAAGTCTCAAAAAATTATTGACATGTTCGCCAAATTCACAACCCATCATTGAATTTATCGCGATATCTAAATCGTTACATTCATAGCCGAGTAGCTAATTATAGCAAACAGCATAAATTGCAACGTTAAGAAAATGCACGGAAAAAAGGATTAAATTAAATACTTTATCGCGAACCCAACCGCCAGCTATTCTTAATTCAACAAAAGGAAGCTCTGGACAGCTTTCCTTTAGGTGTTGAGTTATTAGAGTTAAAAAATTGCATAGCTCTAATTCTTCACTTGTAAGAGTGATAGTCATTTTTCGATCGGTCCTGTTTCGTCGGATATAGGGTTGATAACGAGACTGAAATAAAATTTTATTAGGATCTGAAGGCATTTTAATATTTTTGTGTAATAAATTTGTCAAT